TGGCATCGTAGAAGACGAAGAACTCTTTGTCAGGGTGTTTGGTGGCGTTGTCGTCAAGTATTTGATGTAAAGTTCGGTTGTCAAGAGGGTTGGATCTTGGTTTGTGATAGTAACTCAGTGACGTCATGTTTTTAGAATATCTTCCCCCTGAAAAAGTAAAATGTCGCTTGATATTGCTTTGAATGATTGCGCCAGTAGAGACTCCTTTGCAGACGTTGCGCGTGACTGACGCTAATAATGCAAATGAAATCATTAAAAGGATACAGAAAATGTATGAAAATATAAATGTTTGCTATTTCTGGCTACATTTCTTTTGTCATGGAGGGGCAGGGATGGGGCTTGGAGCTCGACTTGCAGTCGAAACGTGCATGATCGCTTGCTGAGGTCACAAATGTCTACCAAAAACATGACAAAAATTATGAAAAAGCAGACTTAATTATGCTAGAAGATGAACATTATTGACGAAGAATATGGAAAAGGTCCTAGAGTTGAACGTATTTGCCTTAATTGACAACCCACTGAGAATTATTCTGGACAATTTTGAAAATACTACGACTTAGCGAGAGGTATAAACTATGATAAACACATTGGTGAATGAATCTTATTAAAAGTAAATCAGTTGATACATCAAGAGTCCGTTTGAATGGATGAGTCTGCGCTCGTGAATTTTTAGGCCTTTTGTCGTGCATCCCCAAGTGCTCTATTTCACCGATATGCACGTCAATTCATCTTTTAATTAATGCTTAATTGAACGATTTAGTGTGATCGCATTTTTACCTGCAGTTTCAAACAGTAACTTGCATATGCTGGAATTTTTGATTCAGACGCGAGTCGGTGGATGTTTTTCCTACTTGCTTGCTACGAGTTCTTTGCTAATCTCGTCCAGAAAAACAGTGAGTTTGATTTGAGATATGGTCTGGTACGAACACTACACTGTTTCCAGATGTGATCTGGTCACGCAAGGCCTGTGACGTAACACTTGCACCGTGACTTGTATGACTGTTGAGAGGAGAGTAGTCTAGAGGAGGCACGAGCGCTGAAAGCGGAGTTACTGTTACTAGGTATCGTGCATTCAAATTTTTTAAATAATAGCTCTCGAAAAATGCGATTTCCAGCCTTTAAGTGGCTTCGACAGCATATAAAAGGCATCTTGAACAATATTGAAGAATTGAGCATACGTTATCAAACTATGACAGTTATTATAGCCACTTTGACCGAAAAACTTTTGTAGTCATGGTAGTTAAAGGAAGCGGTCTTTTTTGGTTTGSAGGCCGCTGTGGCATTGATGAAAACGTCTTACTTTAATATCATGATTAATAAGGCGTTGAATATTTGATGGTAAATAGAATTAGAAGGATAAAAAGAGTAATATATAATCGGAAAACCGTTAAAGCGAGATAGCCACACACAAATGTACGAGTTTTTTTCAAGAAAATCTCACACAAACGGCGCGTGCGCATTGATATCATCATGAATTCAATGGACGTGGATCCCTGTGTGGAGGTCGAAAAGATGAAAGGAAAAAAAGAAAAATAATAGTAAGTGTTATTGTGACGCCGCAGCTGGTTTATAGAAACGAAAAGCTTGGGAGAAAGTGAAACAACAATTAGAGGGTAAAAAAAAACAACATAATGATAAATGAAAGATCTAATATTGTGAAGAAAAGGAGGGTACAGCTGCGTGCCCTCAAGATAATCTTCTCAGACCTAGAAGGRTTCTTGACAACACTCTATCAACCCCAAAAGCAACAGACAGAGCCCAATAACACTCTCAGAAGGAGGCGTGGCTATAATATTCCTATCTTTCGAACAAATAGATTTAAGCTTTATAATGTACGCAATTTCCCAATTCTAAAATTAAGTTCATCATAATAATAAATTAATTATAATCTGATTATTTTTTTCATCTAAACTAAAGCAAAAACGTTATTAGCTTTTACTAGAAACTGACATTTGGTTTTGATATCTTTTTTTCGCTTTCTGTTATCGCCTGGTTTCCCCCTGGGAGATTTCCCTTTTTTCCAACAAAAGGCGTGACAGTGATTGGCTGATAGKATAAACTGCGCCCCAGTTCACCTGTGAACATTACATTGCCTGCTTCTAATTTCTGTAGTTTTCTATGGTAAACATGTTGTTTTTGCTGCTATTTATCACTCAGGCATATTTAATACAGCTAGTATACGTTAAAGGTAAGTTTCAAATATCAGTTGAAGACTTGTAATACAGAAAAAAACCGGTACCGTTGAGATATGAAGCGAAAAAAAGCGCACTTTGTAAATTGAAATTCGCCTTCAGTTTGATTGATTTTGAAATGAATTTTGACACCTTTGCATTACTTTTCGCTATGATTTAACRTGTGTTTTGCAAGCGAGTATCATGTGTACAGAACCATTAAACTTAGCGGCATGATGGCCGGGCTTTGACCCGAAACGAACKCGTGCAAGCAGGCAAAAATAACCCTCGATCATCACTCTTACCACTACATTGTCACGCACTTGACATCGCTCTATGTTGTTAATAAGGTTAATGATTTTTTTTAGTTTTTGAATATTATTCGACCTCATCATTGTGCTTAATCTTTTAAATGAAGTTCTTTATTTCGGTTATAAACTTTCGCTATAAAATGGAAAACAGAAATTTCATGCAGCCATTTGTTTACTTAAAGCCACGAGATGACGTCGCCAGAAATTTTCTATGAGAAAACGGTATTTTTTTAGCAGCTATCTTAAGATAAGATTAATTTTGGTTGAATATTAACTAATGATTGATTGAGAAATAGTATGTTTAGCTATTGTTTTTCAGCGGTCTTCTTTTATAAAGCTTCATTTGCTAGAAAACAATCTGTGGATTAACAATAAGCTTATTGTAAAAAAGTTGTTTTATTTTTCTATTTCTAAAGGCAATGATTATCCCAGCAATTGTTCTGCCATTGGAACAAAGAAAGTATCAATACTTTGGAAAATACAGACTGTAAACAATTCATTGAACTACAGCTACTCAGTTTTCTTCAGAAAAAACAAAAGTACTTTCAGCCTGGGATGTACTGTGAATTCATCCAGATCACTAATCAACGAGTGTGATATTGGAAAAGCATTGAAGTTGAACTTCCCCAAAGAATATAGTTTTATATATTACATTCGAACTGATAATGGATTGACTCAACAAGAAGGACCACACAAGGAATGCAAAGTTAATATGATTAGTAAGTTTTCAATTTTCAATAATTTGTGTTCAGTTTAAATACAATGCAACCTTATAATAACAACTGGGGACTCTAAGCAACTGATTTCTGACATCCATCATAGCTCCTTTCTATTTTTTTTGAAATAAACCACCAACAGTTCATACCTGTTCCAGTTGAACTTTTACATWATAAATATCAGTCTGGAGTATATTAGATCACAAGGGCTTACAATTTCAAAACTGTGTACCATTTTTGTCGAGAGATGTTTATTATGATTCTATCAATTCATTGATCAACTAACTCTGTTRTATAGTGAAGTGTACAGATCCAACCGGTCTGGCAATAGAAGCCTCATCAAARAGAACMTTAAAACTAAAATGGCACCCACTGTCAGACATGGGAGAATATGTTGCTCTATGTTATAGAATTATATATGCTATATATAAGGATGACCGTTCCAAAAAGGTAGGTCTTTAACTGAAATTTGTTAAGAAAGTTAACAATCACATTTACAATATATCCTGTAATTGCAGGTTGAGAATGATCTTGATCTGGAAGGTTTCTCTTATTCAATTAAGACTTTATTACCATATACTAAATATGCTATGTGGCTACAATGTGCTCTGGAATGTAGTAAAGAGAATTATTCTATGTGGAGCAATGTTGTTGGACCTGTAGTTGCAAGAACACTAGAAGAAAGTAAGTAACCACACTTGCAATTACTATTGAATTCATTCATGATCCTTTTCCTTGATATTTTGTTCTTTTGATTTTTGTCAAGTCCCTCAGGGAAAAGTAAAGTTTTTACAACTTGAAGAAAAACAACAAAAGTCAACAAGAAAGATTATTATTCACTTTGAGGTAAATCAGTAGGAGAGGTTAGCTATAGACACCCAGTCACAGCCACAACATGAGCAGCAACAGTGACAGCAACAACATTAACAACTGAAACAACAATATTTATCATCATGAGCTGTAACCATAGCAGCGCAAGAACAAAAACAAATAGAAGCTATTGATTGCGCTTTGGAAGTTTGACACATGAGTAATTATCAATAACAGCCTTGCTAAAAGTGCATATCATGAAAGGCAACAACAAATATTCACAGTAAAAAAAAGAAAGTATAATCAGTGGAATTTCCTTGATTTTCTTTTTAATTTGTAGTTACCATTGAAGGAAATGTGGAATGGTAATATCACTCATGTACAAATATACTGCTTCAAGGGATCAACTCTTTGCCATAAAAAGAAAGTYCCACCCAGTCAGCAAGTGATTTCATTTGATCACCTGAAAGCTGATGTAGTGTATAACTTACAAGCAGAGTATTGTAACAATGAGGGCTGCAGTAATAGAAGTTATTATAATGTTACTTTTGACAATGGGATTCAAAGTAAGTATTGCAGCATTATRCATAATCTATCTATTGATAAATCAACTACCCACCAATACATGTAGGTTATAGCCTTGTATACAAACATACCACCCACATACAAGCATGCACATTTATGTGACTGATTCCACCAATTTGTATTATTGCTCTAAATCAATTGTTGCTTATTTTATAGTCAATCAGTTAGCCAGACATTATTGCTATCAATCTTAGTCAATCAGTTAGCCAGTCATTGTTGTGTAAAGTCAATCAGATAACGCCCCTGACATTATTGCCGTTCTTAATATAAGTCAAACAGTACACCACACACTTTGCTGTCTAAGTCAATCAGGCTATCAGACAATATACAATTATTGCAGAACATTCAATAATAATGACTGCAACTAGTTGTAAGCTCTTGTGAGTTGACTTTGGTGTTTCTACAGACTGAGGCAGTTGCAATATATAATATATTTTACATTCCCTATAAAAAGTATAAAAAATATCGTATTGACATTTTGGATGTAATATTCCTCCATTGGAGTTACTCCAACTGATCCAGTTGAATTGAAGTACCACCCATCTGGCTTTTTCATCACTTGACTCCCAAAATTACTACCACTGAAGTTGTCAAACGTAATCAGCAATTGTTCATTCACCTGTATTCAGAATTCTTTTACTTTTTACTGGTCATGACAGGGTCATGGCATAGCTGGTTCTCATTTGATATATTTAATATATTTTATTTTCTATAAACAGAACGGCGAGAAATGCGCTCAAAAACATCAAGCAACAAAGATCCACACAAAACATTGAAAATTGTTTTGCCAGCTGTAATTGGCGTTATAACTATTATCGTTATTATTATTGGCATAATTATTGCATGCCGAAGGTAAAGTATGCTCTTCAACAAACTTCTGATATTGGAAAAATATTGCAAGTTGAATATCCAATTTTTAATCCTAACAGGTRCAGAAATAATCCTAATCAGATGTCACTTCAAGAACAACTTGGTGATCTTGAAGCGGTAAGAATAATATTTAAATTGCTTATGCCTCAATCCCTAGCTTGTTCATAGGCAGCTCAACTATTGATTGAGAGAAGGAAAAGAAAGAATGTGCACGCTTTTACGTACGCTAGTATTATCAGTGTGCACTCAATGGGTTACCTGTGGTGTTACATCAATGATCCCTTGCCTTGTGGGATCTAGTCTATCGCAGGCCAGTCTTTGATCCCATGAGAATTCATGACGTAATACCACAGGTAATCCTCATTTTGCCAAGAGTGCGGCCATAAAGWGTGTGCATTCGTCCTTTTCTTTCTCTGAAGCAATAGTTGGGCGGCCTATGCCTTGTTATGTAACTCTTGTGGTTGAGCAATACATGTACAACTCTGGCATATAAATATTGACATCAAAGAACATTGTCATACCATTGATTTTGATAGAATTTGTATTACTGACACTCAACAATATGCTTTATTGCATTGATGGCGTTCACCATGGTCATGGAACCTTGCCAATTAACTCCTTTTTTAGTTCAAAGTGGATAAACATAGTGTTTTATTTGACACAGGTTCCTTTACGGGTTGACAGTATTGATCAAATTGATCAYGAGTATGCACATATTAATGTGCTTTCTCCAGAGGATGAAATCACTGCATTTGTTAGTACTTGTAGTAATTTAAAAGTGAATCAAATAATGTTGGGAAATTATGCTTATAATACTAATTAACTTGAAACCAATATTAACAATAGTTTGGTAAACTGATTGCACATAAACTTTTCATTTGTACATTTTATTTATTCACTAATTGCGTTGTTCTTCTCATAGCACAATACTTTTGCAATGAGGTATGGCTTTTTACTAAACAATGAATTTGCTCTATTTTCTTTTGCTTGCAGCCAAGATCAGACAGCGAGGAGGACAATGAAACCATAGACCCAGTTAATAGTGAATATGCCTCAGTTGGAGCAAACTCAAGATTGACGCTACATCCCGACACAACTGACTTTCGGTCTGCTTCAGGAAGGTCATTACATAGTTTTAGCTGTATCAGTTTAGCAGAGCAGTCTTCAGTGCATGATGCATCAATTGAGCCACCACTTTTAGATCATGGTGAAAATATAGAGTTAGTAGAAATAACAACCACATAGTTTTTATTTAATATCAATCCAGTATTTATAATGTACAAAAAATGAAGGAGGACAATCTTTCATTCCATAGGCAAAATATACTATATAAATCACCAAAGAAAGTATTTATCCCAATAAGTTGCATGTTTTAATAATTAGTGCACTGATGTTTTTTCTCAATGTTTATTAGTATACAATGCGTATGTTCACTGATGTTTTATTCATCAGTGTTCCTCAGTATACAATGTTTGCTCATATTTTATTCATTAGTTTTGCTTAAGTCTTACACACTATTTACATCTAAGATGTTACACTATTTCAATATACAATACCGTCACTGATGTTTTATTCATCAGTGTTGCCATCACTTTTGACAGCTTATTTATAGCATGTTCATATTTGGTATGCAAATACTCTCCTATGGATCATGATGCTGCAACAACATAATATGCACTCTCATTTTCATTGATGTTTTATTTATCATTTTTAGATTATTTTTAAATATTGAATATCTGTTGTTTTAGTGTTGTAATTACCAGATTCTTGCTTGTCTATTCAAACAATATCAGACACTTTTTACTATTATGAGCAACCATCTGATATATCAGACATGAGACAGTCAAAATACACATTATTAATTATAGATAATTAGGTAGTATATATATATATCCATGAGCTTGCTCAGTTTCTGTTATATTTATGTATTTAATGTTCAAAGCTCAATGAATGTCATTATAATATAATTACACCTTTTTGCAAAAACATTGACCCAAAGTTAAATAAAAAATAGAAATTAAAAAAAGTAATTTTAATTACATAGGTTTTTTCATGTGATAATATGAAATAATGAGAATGTTAGAAGAAGTAAAGCAGGTTTTTTATCCTTTGATGTAGAAAAGCCAATAAATTGCTCAGCTAACTTGAGCACAAATTTCAATGAGCTAATTTTATTTTTTTGTTTATGGGTCAACATTTTTGAAACGTGTATGTCAAATAGCCGACTTTAGATATTTTAAAAGAATTGCAGATGATGCTCCAAGGAAATAAAGGAATAATAATCAAGGTTATCCATTGTTTTTCTGGAGCTTTGTGTGTATTCTTTTGTWCATATTCATCGAACCAAAATATCTAAAGTTGACTATTATTACATTTTTTGAAAGTTACAAAGCTATATCATGCAATATGTAGATTCTATTGCAAAAAGTCTTTAAAAGTCTTTAAGAAAAATAAAGCGCAGCCCATGTCTGTATAATATATTATATTAACTCAAATATTGGAAGTGGTACAGAACACAAGAAAAGCGCAGGCGTTTCTCTTCCCTTCTTGAGTGCTCTCCACCTCTTGCTGTGTTCAGATCAGAGAAAAGAGACATAATTAAATGGCTGGTTTATTTCTCTTATATTACATTTCATACATGGGAAGGTTTAGAATTACCCACAATACACCCTATATGTATATATTATATTGTTGACTTTTAAAGAATTTTTTGCAGAATGCTGTACAGTAAGTTATATATTATATATATATGTTGACACAAGAGCGTTATTTATATAAGGGGAGATAAGTAAGTTATATTATATATATATGTTGACACAAGAGCGTTATTTATATAAGGGGAGATAAGTGGTTTAAAAAAGCATGTAAACTCTTGAAAATACTCAAATAAAAGTCTTCAATAAAATGATAATTTCAATAAATATAATTAATGTGTATTTGCAGTACTGGGACTAATAGGGCAATAGTTTTGGTAACACATGACTGGCTAAGACAGCAATGATATTCATACTACAGATTTTTATGCATATTTTTTATGCATTAAGTTTTTTACAACTGGCAGGCTTTGCTAATATKTTTCAATCACTTCTTTTTGCCAGTATTATAATCATATGATTGTATGAAAATAAATCTGAAAGGCAATGAAGTCCATTGTAAATTATAAAATTAGARTATCTTAACAGACTTTTTGAATAAAATAAATTAAAGAAATATTTTCTTCTGAATCTACTTGACTTATTTTTCCTAAGGCAAACTGGATTTTATTTCATTGGTTATTTCATGCCTTTGATTTATCCTGTATAAAATAACATATATTGATAAATATAATCAATTTTTTTCTTGACTGGATCCAGTGGTTGGTGCAAGACCAGCAGTGCATCCTAAACTCAWGATGAYCTTTGTCCATGACGTATCTATATTATGTCCATTGTGGACAAGTGATATGCCCTTCCCAGGGGCATTTGAAGGGAGTTCTATACCTTCAYTTTCTTGCCAGACAAMTTCTTTGATGAGTCTTCTTTGAGAAACATGTTTATATAATATAAACTTGTCCAACAGCTTGTTTGGTTTAAACCCAAAGCTGGAACTCCCCTTGCRAAACAACTAAGAATGTCCAGACTGCTGTGGACCATTCTGTGAACATCTTGGATCTACCTCTGAACAGTTATTGAAAGTAAACTTCTTTTTCAACAAAGAGGAATCTCTTCCTGGCTTTCTTTGTTGCTGTTTGATACCAGACACATGTAGGCACTKTCATCAGCTTGCAGTATTGCTGCTTGATCGTGCCCTGCTATCTTTTCAGGATTCAATTGTTGTAGTTCAGAGTAGTTKGTATTGTTTGCATCTGGACGTCTCTCTTCAATATCTGGGSTCTGATCACCAGGAAGAACCTTTGAATATTATATGTATGCATGTCAAAACCTTAGAATTATAACAATCCTGCATTCTGATTGGCTTAACTACTTATACACTCAGTCTATTTTCATACCCCTATTAATAGTAGTGCCTATACTATGACTATTTCTTATTATAATTTTGTTATTTTCTTTGAGATCTAGAGTATGGCAATACTAACAGTTAATACTTTTAAAATATGCATGTTTGTAGAGCTTTAGCCATATCATTTAAATAAAAAAAAATGAATTAAACACATTCTAGGGTGAAGAACCAATGCAGTGCCATTGTAATGGCAATAGAAACATACACCTAGAGTAATTTGCATTAAGGTTGATCAAAAATATTCTGGTTCATTGGTTCTGTTATGATTTATAATCATTGAGTTGTAGTGTTTATAATACCGTAATATCTTCTTGCAATGGATCTAGTGATGGAAACTCAGCAACAGCATCTTCCCTGAAATAAACACGTACGGACATTTAGTAAATACTAATTATTATTAACCAAGTGAGCTGCAGCTCTTACAGACCTTCAAAATCATATCAAAACTGTGTATACAAACATGCCTCGTGGAAATTATCTTACAGACATCTGTATTACCCACACCCTGCCATATTACAGAAACCTCTTAATATCAGATAACTCAGTACTCTATATTACAGACACACCTATATTTTACAGACAATTATATATTACAGACACCTCTCTCTCTGTATATATAAAGTTTACCTTCGATTCCTGCGTTTAAAGTAACACACCAGGTATAAAAGAAATCCAAAACACAATACCGAAATAACTACCACRATAATCACGATAAATACAGTGGAACTTGTGAAATGGCTGCTGCGGCGAGATGGCTGTTGATCCATTAATGTACCAATCCCTATCAAAGTCGATCAGCACATAATATGACATTAAGTCGACATAACTTTCAGTGAACTCTTTTGTTGAAATATACCTCCCTAATGAATAATATTTACTATCTTTCCATGTAATATATAAAATATGAACGGGAGACCTTTATGGACATTTAAAACTGCGAGCTGCAAGTGAGCAGTTTAATAGCCCATAAAGGTCGAAAGCGAATATTTTATATTTCTTATAATATCAAATTCCAACATAAGGTAAAGCATGTTTCAAAAAATACTTCAGGATAAAATATCATTTGTAAAAGAAAATTGAAGTTAAAGTCGTATGCAAATCAGGACAAATCTCTTGCTCATATAARGATRCRGTCACGGCAATGATTTTCCATTGTGTTTACCTTATGAATTATTARTGAATTTGACAATTCCACACACAGTTCTTAGCTATTTCAATACTAACCTTTCAAAGTGATTTGTTGAGAGCGAACACTGCAATCAACAGCAGTAGTGCATGATTGCAATGTCAAAATGTAATCAGCATCTTTAATCAAGTCTGTAATTGTAGCATTTGTCCAATTTCCATTTACAATGCGCTTGACATAGTAAGTCAAGGTCTCATTGATATTGTCAGTCTGTTTTTCGTACTCCATCACTGTTTGCATAATGATGCCATTACGCTTTTGTTTTTCAGGATGCTAGAGAAATTTTGATATAGTGTATAAGACTCAAATAGAGATAGAATGACATATTTTTCATTATAATGTGACACTTAAAGCAAACATTTAATCCCCATCTCCACCCCCCTAAATGTTCCTTTACCGTCCATTTCACTGCAACAGTTCTCGTTTTTTCGCTTTGTGACATGACTTGATTTTCTACAATTATTGGAGGAGCACTCGGAGCTGACAAGAAATCAATGTTATCAATGATTATCAGGTATTATCAATTGTTTTCTAAAGTCAAATGATAATATTACCCTATGTAATAACTAAAATAAATGAATTCAACAAGTTCAACAACAGATTGCATGATGATTATAATATGGAGAGTGTGAAGAACATGTACAATATATATAGTGAAGGAACTTGGGTAGAGACAAAACACTACTGAACATTAGTTTCCAATTCACTAGGTTTTCTTTGTTATTCATAGGGTTGTATATACCATAGAAGCTTAAGGCCGGGGAGGGATTTGTTATTCAGCAGGAAAATGTGGGGTTGATGAATTGAATTGAATAGCTCGTTATAAATTCAGCGGGCTATATTTGAGTGACCGGGATCACTCATATATAGCCCGCTGAGCGTGAATTTATAACGAGTTATTCAGTTCAATTCATCAACCCCACATTTCCCTGCTGAATATCAAATAAACGGCTAAGTAAACTAAACTATTTTTCCACTAAAAAGACCAGTGCGGCCAGAAAAACTTGAGGAGATTTAGAGTGTAATAAGTTCGAGTCCCGCAGCTTTTCTTCATATGTTCATCAGAGAATAGAGACAACAATAACCAAGATCTTCGTTACTTTTGAAACTATAATCTATTCTTCGGAATTAACCAACGTGTATGAATCAGAAGTAATCGGTGTGACTCGTATTTCTCCGTTCCTCGGTCCATTCTATCCAATCCGGCACGTACACACGGCCATTTGGTACTTTAGTTTGTTCTTGAATCCTTCCCGCGTATTTTTTCGAGCGATTTCAACATCAAAAACTATTGTAATTTTTCTCATTTTTCCCATCTGCAGACTTTGTCATCGTTATTTGCGGGCAGAGGCATGCRGAGTTCCAAGTCTGATAGCAAATCGTCAAAATCAAAGTTCGGAGGCAAAGGAATGATGTCAAACGTATTTTGAGCTATAAACAAATCGTCACTGTTCGACATCGTTTCCAGAATGACTGTTCAGAATATTTGATAACAATATTCAAATTCCGATTGCTAGCTTTCGCATGAACAGGTTTTCTTAAAGGAAACTAATTTCAATAGTCCATGAAAAAGTCTCAAGAGAAGAGGATTCTATTGTTCGAATCCCAACTAAGAAAACATTCATTTAGACTATTCAGTTTTTGCGAAAACCACATGAATTGAAAACTAAGTTTGTTAGTTACCTCGCACGTCGGCATTACGCTATATACAGCCCTCGGGCCTGCGGCCCTCGGGCTGTATACAGCGTAATGCCTCCGTTCTTGGTAACTAACTCTTACATATTAGGAATAATTAAGAAAGCATTGCTTAAACACAAGCTATAGTGAGGCAATGAAATGAAAGCATATAAAATCACTAACCTTCTGGTAAAGTGCGCACATCCACTGGTTTACTCTGAATTCCAATATCTTGATTTTCAAAGAAAACTGCACCAGTCAACCTATACTTTGTGTATGGCTGAAGGTCTTCAATAATGTGGAAGAAAATAGATGCTTTTGGCTTGCTTGGGAAGACCTTTATTGTCTGAGGAAAACAGATACCAATATTACTTAACCAATTTACTAAATTTATTTTTAAGCATTCAAGGTCAAATCCCCCCTATAACAAAATCTGAATCAAGTATTCCAATGTATCTTATAATGTTGATATATATAGAATAAATAGCCTTTAGGATTTTGGTATTTGTGATACTAGCTACAATCATTTTTGAATGCTGTGTATGTTGAGAACAGTTTTGAACAATAATGCATTTTTGACATAAGGTTACTGATATTTACGTTTATCACCAGTAATTTGGGTGTTAATTACAGTTTCCTAATGTTGTGGATATTATGGATTATTTTTATTAGTATATTATTATATAGAGTATGGATAATTTTCATATTGTTAACCTGGTTAATATCAGTGTCAATCATTGATAAATAAAAGATGTACTCTGTAAACCCTTTTGTACTGTCATCCATATCAGATGGACTTCTCCATGTTATATTGATCTGTCCTTTGGCTGGAGTTGTGAGGCTTAGAATTTCAATGGGAGAAAACTTGTCTGAAAAAAGAAAAGAGGAGGTGCTTGATGTTAGATGACAATGTAAATCAAAACAGTTGACAAGGTTCTTAAATTACTTACAGACTAACTAGAGAATAGCAATAAACGTGAGGTCTCTCTATCATTAAACCAGTTACTCTCTCACTTTTTCATCTCAAGTGACAATGTAATTTGTTCTTAAATGAACCGTACTCTGAAGAGTAGATTATGCTGTCTTGGTTGATATTGTGAAGAGCCTCTTTCTTCATTTGCTTTGGAAACTCTTCTAACAATCGTATAGGAAATTTTGCTGTCTCTTGAGAGCATAGTTAGTAGAGGGAGACCTMTAATACTAACTAATGTTGAGAGTAAAAAGAGGCTAATGTAACATACTAGTCTAATACCCAGTASAAAATACTTATCAGTGATTTACATGATCTTCGAAGGTTGCAACATTTCTTCCTGGTAAAATTTGTGTATTTCTTGTTGGTTGCACTTATTACCATACATACTGTGTTGYCAAGTTGATTGGACAAACTGGAATCCCAATAATTTGGATACAATTTCTTGAGAAATTCTGTCATATTGCACTTAACTTTTACACCATCTAAAACATTCAAAATCATGTTACACTAATCTGGTTTTTACTGTAAGAAAAATTACAATGAGTATGGTTGAGCCTTGTACATGTACATAAGTAAGCCAATCCTAGACCCCCTAGCTGTGTCAGCAAGAAATTGAGAGGAA